ATTCCCTCCTCCCCCTCCAGCCTCAACGAGGACAGCTTGAGTACCACGAGCGAGCTGCTGTCTACACGCCGGGCCAGGAGGATCCCAAAGGTACTGCCAGGGTCATCTTGTCCCCAGCAAAGCATCATATGGGTCTAGCTTGGGTTTCACCAGTGGTAAAACGCTAGGGCAAAACAGCTCACTGAGCTATCTCAACTGGCCCTAGAGGGACAAATACTATGCTGTGGGGATTATTGCCACCACCCAATAAACAGCCTCATTTTCCTCCCTCCTTTTCCCAAAAAAAAATTGCAAGGGCCTGTTAAAACTAGATGGGATCTGATTCAAGTTAAAGAAGTCTGAGCGCTCAGTGGTCCCTTATGTTTGACTTCTGGGCCTCAGCTGGAGATAAGACTGATTTCAAGGCCTCAACTACAAGACTTGTATTGAGGATAGCTCACCCATCTGAAGGAGCTTTTCAGTTGCTCTACAGCCTTTACCCATCACTGAAAGCTTTTTTGCCTCCAAAGGGAAAATTGAGATTCCAACAGAAACAGAAATTCTTGGGAGGCAAGACACTTTTCCTTTCTACACCCACCCATGCAGTGGAGGTCCCTTCTCTGGAAGTGAGTAACTGCTCTGGCCCCAAAGTAGCAAATACCTGAAAGCCAGCTTTGCCCAGAGTTGGTTTTAAACCAGCTCTTGTTTTCTACAACAGTTTTCTACAACACTCTGGGCCAGAGCGTTGTTTCGTAACTAACTTGATGATTTTGAATGAGTGATGGCTGAGCAGTTATTTATAATGTGCAGCAGCATCTGAAGTGGATTTTTTTCCTTCATTTCTTGCTCTTCTCAGGGAAATAGCTATATGTTTGCCTTTGTTTCCTGACAACCTACCCCGGCCTGATAACCCTGTTGTCTTAATGGGTTTGAAGTAAAAATTAATTTTCTATTTTTCAAGGAGTTCAGATTTTCTGGTTCAAAGTGGGATATGAAAAAAACCAAACCTTTTCTAGTGCAATAGCAATAGAGGGGAGAGAACTACCAATATGTTTATTTTGGGCTTGTGAACAAAACTGATTTTTACTGTATATTTAGCTCTTTCCTGTTCTTTTTAGAGGGCATATTTTAAAGTACATGGCTATAAATACTGTGAGTTGAGGGAGACTTTTATGTTCCTTCCAATTAGTCTGAAGTTCTGTCTAAGCAGGAAGCAAAAAAAAAAAAGGAGGAAATTAATCATATATCCTTAATATTTACTATATTTTTATTTTCTTGGTATATATTACCTTACTGCACAAGTTAGCATACATCTGTGGCGGAAGTTATGGAGTAATTCACAGAGTAACTTACTGTTCAGTGTAATACTTGGAAAGTTTAGCTGTTGATTTTGTACCTAATTTTCATTTTCCGTCTGATTTAAGGGACAGACGTTTTCTTCATATGAAATTATGTTTTCAGCATATGAATGCTCATAGTTTTATCACAAATCTCATGATAATTTATATTTTTCTGGCAGCTTTAGCTCCTAGAATCACTTATTACTGGAAAATCTCATGCTTTTATTAAGAAAGTAAGTTAGTTACTAGTGGAAAAGCTTGAACTTCAGAAAGTCCTGTTCCTCCCATCCACTCTGGGCCTCCACAGATGCAAAACACAAAGAGAAGATAACAGGAATCCTTTGTGAAGCAACATCTATCTAAATGCTTTAAAAAAACTGGGCTTTGGTCCCCACAGGGCCAGTATTCTGCTCATGGTGCAGTAGCTCGAGCAGAGAAAGCGCGAAGCAGCGCGCTGAGGGGAGTGAGAAGTCACAGCAGGGCCCCAACGGGCGGGATTTCCCCCCGCCGGCGCTGCCTGTGGCGGCCGGCGGCTTCCCAGCGAGCAGAGCCAGGTGCATGGCTGCTAGCAGGGAGCTTCCAGCTGAGCCTCAGTTCCCCAGTGGGAGACGGGTTGCACATGGCTCAGTCAGCACGCAGAGACAAAGCCTCAAATACCTCTTCAAGCTGGATAACAAGTGAGGATTTTAACGCTTTAAACTCAGTGTTCTTGGCCAGACTCTTTTCACCACCACGGAGAAGCTGCTGTGACCACGTGTTGGTATAAGTGTGAAGAGAATTTGAGCAGTAATTATAAAATTTGCCATCAAAATTGGACACATGTTTCTGACAGCTTTCCTTTCCTTGTAAAATGTAGGCAGTGTGATTCAACTGTGGATGAAACAGAGGGGTTGGATGACTTGGTTTCTGTCTGTGCTCTCTTACGGGCCTTCTGCTGGGCCTAGGGCAGATTAGTTACTCTCACGAAGTTTATTTCTGTCTTCAAGCAGAGGTAAAACAGCTTTTCTAAATTGTGCTGTAATTCTATGAGGAAAGCTGCTATGGAATGATATAGGCTGTTTCTGACTTGTTATGAAGATTAATTGCTTCCTATTTAGGACTTATTAGAAATAATAATATTCTGTTACTAGTTCTTAGTAATCTCAACCTCTTGTTAAAGTCACTAAACACTAATTAATCTGGTTAATATTTTCCATCATCTCAGATCTCTTTTTTTTGATAATCGGTTATTATCTGAATTAGCCCTGCTGAGGGAGGTCTTAAAGATGATTACCAGAAGTTAAAATTCTATTTTAGCTGGCACTAGTAGCTGACTTTGAAACCCTTTGGTAGGTCAGGATAAGCTTGAAGAAAGCAGATGCAGCACCTCTGAAGGTCTGTATAAACACAGCACAAGGTGGAAGGGGGAGGGAGGAGAAGTCCATGTGGGCCAGGTCCTCAGTCGGTATAATCTGGATTCCAAGCCACTGATTTACGCACCTGAAAAGGCTTTAAAAAGCTAGGACCAGCTCCTTCTGCCCTTATTTGAACATGCTAAAATTACAGTTCAGAGAGGTGCTAACAGATGTGTTACTCGTGTTCAAAATTTGTTACGATGTTAAGGTCTGTGAGAGTCTGGCAAAGCTGGCTATGGCTAATGGATCACTGTGTTTAGACATTGCAAGTGAAGAGAAAAGCAATAGCAAAGAGAGGAATGAGGTTGTAGAGGGATAACGTTTCCGAAATGTGCCTGTGAATCCTCAGTCTCATTGCACTTTTATTGCAAATGTCTAAGTCATTTTTGAAAATAGGATTTAGGTTTGTTGATTTGGTTAACCGTTTCTGAAAATATATCCATAGGTAAAGAAGTAATATGTCACTGAGATCCAAAATAGGAGAGAGAGGAATCCATTTTGAAATAGTAAAGGAGTGAGAGGACACAGCTGGCCTATCATCCATGGCCAAATTTTGTTTGGATAAATTAACTGAAAGTTTCCTAGCAGAAAAGTGTTTGTTCTCACTGACACATTTTCTTCTTTTGCAGCTTGTCCAAAGAATTAATTCCATCTACAGTGCAAAAAGAGGAAAAAAACGATTGAAGAAACTTTCAATGTCCAATATTGAGACAGCATCCCTACGAGGTATGACACAAGCATTACGGTTCAGTGAGTCTATTTGAATGTTACAGGATCACTAACTACAGATTGCCTTCTTTTCTCTGCTACATCTGCCCTCTGCTCTACTTTGTTTAGAACTTTCCCCTATTTACAAAGGTAACTTTGTCTCTACCAAAGCAGAAAATGGGGATGGGCTAAAAAGAAACCAAATCTCTCAGCAATGTCAATACTATTAGTCCCATGACTGACTAAAGACTCACCCAGCCTGTTCCTTATTTAACTTTTTCAGTACTTTGCACCTGTAAGTTTTGTGCAAAATTCACAGTTTTGATCCTGTAATTCATTCATGCTATTTCCTGGCATGAACATGTGAACATAGCTCATTCTGGGCTTCAGATTGCTTCTGGAAAAGCATGGGTCCAGAGACAAAATCAGGCCATGTTTGTAGTAGCAGTACAATGGAGCTTTATGCATGAATACATGTCAGAAATACATCTTGTCATAAGCTAACCTTTTGCATGTTACTCTCATTCAGTGTGGTGAGTTCTGCCAATTGAAAACCTTGCCCAGGGAAAGCTCGTAAGGCTTCCCTTGACTTCCCAAGTGCTATATAACTTCCTTTCGGAAATTAGAAGTCTGAAAAATAAGTGAAAGAGTGACAATCCGTTTTCCAAATGGCACATTCACCTCTGTAGTTTAGCACAGCTGGGGGTTCAGTGCAATCATTTACCCCAATGGAGAATGAACACTCCACTTTCATCAAAGCAAAGCTCTTATTTGCAAGCAAAATTGAAATGTCTTCCAGGGAAACTACAATCTAAAAGAGTCATTCAAACTGTTTATTTCCGTGTGTTTTAAAACTCAGGGAAGAACACATAAAGATCATAAGGCTCAGTGTGAGATATGATTCTCTCCCAATTTCACCGCACTAAACCAAATTCTCGTTTGCTTTGGTTTTGCATTAACTGATCCCTCTTTATCTCCCTTGCAGATGAAAACAGTGAGAGTGAGAGTGACTCAGATGACAGGTTTAAAGGTAAGGGATCAGTCTTCAGTGCTTCTAGGCAGCTGCTGTCACAGTCCCTGTCAACATACATTCTCCTGCTACTGCACATTGTTCCAGCCCATGGATTATATTTTCCTCCTTGAACTATATTAACTCCATTACAGTAGGACTCACAAAGTTTCTGACACAGGAACATGAATGTGTAAGGCGAGAATAAAATGACCTGTGAGGATCTAAGAAGGATTTGGCAATTATGTCATCTAATGAAGAACAGTTGAACCTTTGACAGATTTGCTTTGTCAGCCGTGTCACAGATGCTGGTGTTTTCCAGAGTGACTACTGGGTGCAAACTTAGAGGGACAGGGTTGGATAAATGTACCGTTTTCTTATTCATTCACTGCTTTACGTGTTTACTACTAGCTGCTATTGGAGACAAGATGCTAGGTCTGATCCAGCATAGCAGTTCTTATACTCTCTTATAGGCCTGCAGTCTCCAAACTGTAGAAATTCCTTTATTAGTGCACAGCACCTGCACAAACTCTGCTTGAACCAGACCAGTAAATGCATCCCTCCTTGTCAAGAGTCCTGATACACAGAGAGAATTACAACGAAAGACAAAGGCAGCAGCAGCCAATTTTATTATTAAAAAACCCTCAAATCTATCATGTTATTAATAAATGAGGAAAAAACCCAGGAGTGCAGAGCTATGATTATGAGATGAGGAGTAACTTCTTATCTGTCTACTGCAGGTGTCACTTGCTTACTGTTCATGTTGGAAAACTTGCTGGAAAACATTGAGGGGAAAAAAGAATTGTTCAGGTGAAGTGGCAGTAAGATACACAGCAGCTCACCCAAAAGAAGCTGTAAATGACGTTATACAGTGAGGCATGAGGAAGGCCAGATACCACCCCAAAAGCACTTTCAGTTCTATTTTCTTTTGTGTAGAAAAATATAGAGGTTGCTCCTGCCCGTAGCTCATGAAGGAGGACAGACAAGGCCTGGCCTCTCTTGCTGTTGAGAAGATATTCTGGTTTTACTGGGACCTGGGAAGCTTTTCCCCTCCTTGCTGTGGAAAGGAGGATCCTCGTTCTGATGGCTCCCTAACTAACTGCTTCTGTCTGACCTTACCATTACACAGATACTCTCAAGGCATCCAGAGCCAAAGATCCAGTTGTCCCATGTAGCTTGACAGGATTTGTTAGGTCCCCAGCTTTTGGGGTGGGATGGGCTCCTTTTCTTATCTCTTGCAAATAAGAAGCACTGGCCAGCAGTGTGAGACTATCTCAAAGCAGGACAGATGTGCTTTCTTGGGATTTGGCTTTCCTGGCTGTGCAGGCACACCAAGACCCAGAATACTTTATCAAAATAACTGTTAATCTTGCTGTTGTTGAACTAGTCCGTGACAGCTGATCATCAAGAGGTTTCCCCTTTCTCCTGTTGATTAATTACTGCTGTGATCAAGTGCTTGTGACATCTTATTTCCCTACCACAAGGGACACTCTGCCTTTGGCTAACTGTGGGCTGTGTCAGTGAATGCAGTCCTAAGGGGCTGACATGCACTGCTAATATTTTGCCTGCCATTGCACAGAGATCCTGCTGTGAAGAGGTGGGAAGAGAATACAGACAGCTGTTTTCGCTTAGCTTCTTTTTACTTATTGGTCTACCGGAATTGGTAATGATGTGACTGACTACTCTAGCTCAGTGATCTGGGGACAGGTCAGTGGACTGGGGAGTACCTTTGGGTCAGGACTGGACGTGGCCATAAATCTGAATCTGCCCCTCGGGCTGAACTGGCACAAGCAAAGCTATCCTGCAGGAGGCATTTTGCAGCTCTTTTCTCCTCTCTCACCTCCTTCCTTGGAGATCGTTCCACAGCTTGCAGGGACAGAGCTTGTGCTGCTGCAGAGGAGGAAGTATGCTTTCAGGGGTTCTCGGTGCAGAGCTGTGCTACATGGACTGGTCATAGATTTGGTTTTCTCCAATGTAAACCAGCTCCGAGTCAGGCCTAAGGACGTGTGCCATGCTGAGAGCTCCAGTGCATTTGCGCAGCCACATAAAGGCTTATAATCTAGCCCTATGTGTGAAGAAAAAACAGATCTTTGGCAGAGTTACAGTTATGAACTGCAAATGATTGCAGAGGCTTGGTGTTGCATCACTTCAGTACTTGGAGAGAGTTTTGATTTATGGATAGAATTAGTGAGGGACACTACAGTATGAAGGTCTGCTTTTGAAAGGAGAGCATGCTTGGAGTGATACAGTTCTTTGGGAACGACTGTGGCTCACATATTCACATTACGTTCCCAGGTAATGATCTAGCTCTCTTTTTGTTTTCTTTGAAATGCTAGCTCATACGCAGCGTCTAGTGCACATCCAGTCAATGCTGAAAAGAGCTCCAAGCTATCGAACCCTGGAACTGGAGCTGATTGAATGGCAGGAGCGGGAGTTATTTGAGTATTTTGTGGTGGTGTCACTGAAAAAGAAGCCCTCTAAAAGTACTTACCTCCCAGAAGTGACATATCAGTTTCCCAAGGTAAAAGAAAAATTCTTATGTACAGTTTATTCTAAATGCTTTATAAGATCATTTTGGCTAAGATCGATAAAGTGAGTAAGTGGGAAAATTAATAGAAATCTATTTCTTAAATGGAGTCAATCATTCAGCTTTCAGATTTTTTTCCAAAATGCTCTGTTATAAAGTGAAGAGTACAGAGAAGGTGATTGAGTGCTTTCCTAGTTTACAAAATTGCCTTTCCCAGTGCTGGAGAGTTTGGCCTGATGGTAGACAGTTTAAATGCTGTGTTTAAATTCAATTTCTAAATATTTCACTTTTAACTCAATTTGGCTGTATTAGGATTTGTGCCAAAAGCCACTGATGTCAATGGAAAGACTTCTGCTAAGCTACGGCACTTCTCTCATGCTCTTTCAGCAGAAAGGAATTTGAGATAGGACTGTATTTTAAGCAGCCATTGTGCAACAAAGGAATTTCTGGCAATTTATATAACTGTCAGTGATCATTTCTATTATGCTAGCATCTACAAGCCTCAGGCCTGGGGTCACGCTTCATTCTGCTAAGCGCAAATAAAGAACAAGCTGATGGGCCCTTGCTCCTCAGAGCTCATTAGTAAAACCTCCTCCTGAGAGCTGCTGTGAGGCTGGCACTAAGGGCAACCCAGTGAACTTCAGTTTTTCCACTGCAGCTAGAAAGACCCACCAAACAAATGCGTGAAGCAGAGGAGCGTCTCAAGGCTATCCCTCAGTTCTGCTTTCCTGATGCCAAGGACTGGCTCCCTGTCTCCGAATACAACAGGTAAACTCTCTTGTGCTCCGCTACTGCTCAGTGCTGATGGAGTGCATCTGGAGCAGCCACAGGCTCGCCATTACCCAATTAAGGAAGTAGCAGTTTGAGTCTTGGCCACTTCAGACTCAAGCAGCTGTATTTAATTTTTTTAAGTTCTGTATTATTTTTCTTCCCCATTCTGTCTGGCTCACAGGCCTCTGTGGCTGAGGGGAAGACATTTGAAGGTTCCTCTGTGCCAAATCCAAAAGCATAAATGGAAGTATTTAAAATAAATCTCAAAAAGGCCAAGGCCCTGCCCACCACCTGCCCTAATCATTTATCCCAGAATGCTTGTGTAACATTGCAGGGCACCTCTTGCACCAGCTTGATTCAACGCTGTTTTGAAAGTTTTTTGGGGGTGTGCTCTGTGCCAGCAGAGGAGCTGATCTTCCTACCCTCAGAGGTGAATGACTGCCTAAAAGAGGCAAAGGAAGAGAGCGCCAGGCTCACATTTTCCTTTTCATTCAAAAGAAACCTCAAAAAATGTATCTGTTTTTTTCTTCCTGCATTAGAACTTGATGATCTGAAGAGGTAAAAGTAGATCACCCAAAACATGAGATGGCGCTTTAAGATGTGTGACAGGAGATGTGTGTAAATGAAATAAGATATGTTCAGAGCGTGTCTAATGGGACTTTCAACTGTGACATGGAGCTAGCATTCACCTACAGGAATTACTGCAGCCAAAAATATCTATGGAACATTTTATTGGCTTTCATATGGTGCATACCACATAACCCTACAATAGTGGTATATGCTGTTTTGCTTGGCTCTAGTATTCAGTACTTGGAAGCATCTGAATAATGAGCTATTGAAAACACTGAAGGAGAAGCAGAGAACTGTGGGCATCATTGGTGTAAGCATTATACAGCCATGCTTGCACAGCACTCCACCTTTTCTGGTACTCTCCTAGGCAGATCTTCAGCGAGCCCATGTCTATGAAACAAGAAATCCCTGGCATATACTGCTGTGATTATATAAACCCTAGCATTGTAGCGCAAAGGAAAAGGGTTTTATATAATGCCATTTCATACTTGCAAAGCAATCAGCAGTGTTTATCAACCCAGGCACAAAATTTACGTGCCCACCCCTTTACCTGTGCTGTAATTACAGCTTTAAGATGTTACCTATCTCAAATGGTATTTACTCAGATGAGGATATGAAATGAGCTGGATTTTGCAGGGCTGTACTGTTTCCGGTTTAGAAGGTAATTTCTGTGCTCTAAGAGAATATCTGTGGTTCTCCACTTTGCGTGGGCCAATGAGAGGCTGTAACTAAAAGGTAAGGGAAATACAGCATTTGAATACTGCCCTCAAAATCTGATTCTTGTGTTCATTCTGCAGTGTAAAGGGACTGTCATGTCACTGAAATTCAGCATCCATCTCCCCTTATAATAAGGCAGCTAGGTCATCCAGGGCAATGCATATTTCATTTTTTTTTTTTTGATGGAATTTGGTCACATAGTATGTTCAGATGATGAGAAGAAAGCCCTCCAGTGGGTAGAATTTCTCAGTGGATACGGAAGTATCTGTTTTTAAATGATCTACCCCATAGCTACACTGTATAAAGATATAAAGTAGTATAAGACAGTATAAGGATAAGATAGTATAAGTAATCTTATATAAGGTGTATAAGACAGTAAGATCTGGACAATTTATTTTCTTCTAGTGAGACCTTCTCTTTCATGCTGACTGGGGAAGATGGAAGCCGGAGGTTTGGTTATTGCAGGAGGCTGTTGGTAAGTACATCACTTTCATCTCAAAACACAGAATTTTGTAAGAGAGTATCTCAAAACTATAATCTGAACTTTGAGGGTGTCTCTTGTGGTTTTAAAATAAAACTGAGTTACTCTGAAATTTGGAAATCTAAGGCTCTCATGTAAAATCATAATTTGTAATGTCTGTCTGAATCGAATGGATCCTAAGTCTTTTGGAAAATTTGCAAGAATCTGGAAAGTTTCTTGTGTGGGCATTTAATTTTTAATTTCTTTGTATTGCTTGGTTTTAAGCAGAAGCAGAAATATTACAGCACTGCAAAGAAAGGCAAATGTAGTATTTCTAAACATTTCGGAGCAGTGTTTATCTCTTGAACAGCTGCTTATGTCTCTAGAGCATTGTGCCAGCACTGCCTCATCGGTCTGCAGCACGTCTGTGTTGCAGGTAGATAAGCCGCTCTTTCCAGCACGGGGGCAACAAGGATGGAGAGCAGATTTGCTCTGTACCATGCACTAAGCTGATGCCAGTTGCAGAAGTCTGGGTCCTCAGGCTCCTTTTCAGTCCTCGTGACCAGAGTTAGTCTATCGGTGGGGTGTGAGCCCAACTCAACCTACCCAACAATTCCGTCTCATCATCTGGAAAGTGGACAGGTCAGTTGGCCAGTGAAATTGAGAGCATGGCTCTGTGTGCGTGCCATGGGGGAAGGGAATCACATAAAGGCTTGCAAAGTTTATTTAGCCAAGTGAAGCACAGTGCAAATATGTTTTTTGCTGTCTCTCCCCACAGACCTGACTGGATGGCAGCCAAGCAGACAGCAGCTGGCCATGCCTGCACTAGCCCACGCTCCTCAGGTGTCAAATAGGTTTGGAGCTGATTGTGAGTGACTAGCTTGGGAACTGTGGTTCCTTTGCTGTTCACATTGCAGTTGTCTATGCTTGTCAGGAGAGCTTATGTGGATATTAGGTGCTGCAGAAGCCTTTTGCATGTTCTGGGTGCAAAATGAATTTATGCAGCAGCGTTGCAAGCTTGTAAATAGGTGCCTCCTTTCTAAGAGAAAAGGACACTGGCACTTTGCCCATCCCTTCTTCCCTGGCATAATTCCCCATCTTTCCAAGAGAGAAAGCCAGAATGTGACTTTCAATAGATAGAGCAACTTCCTGACATTAGAACAGCATCCTCCATGCTGCATGCTGTCTGCACGTGACCCAGCTTTTACTTGGGTCTACGTCAAAGCTCTTTGTCGTGTAGACAGGAGGTGCTCTGTTTGGGGTGTAGCTATGTATGTGGTTCCTATATTGGTAAGAAGTTTTGTTTAAACTAATCTAACAGAATTTTTATCTTGTTTATTGATTCTGTGGGCAGTATTTGCCATAGGTAGTATGAGAGCCTTGCTCACAGAGCCTTGCTTACTCTGTATAAAGTGTGTAAGTGTAGGCTACAACAGCAAGGTTTAAATGTGAAAAGGAAATGTCGATGAAGGCTTATGTTGCTGTAAATCTAGGGCTGGTCAAGGAGTGATTCAGAGATAAACAAGCGGAGTATCTAGAATGTATGTATTTATGGGTGTAAATAAGCATAACAAGATGTAGGGCAGCAGCACTGTTCAATTACTTTTTTATGTGTTGTCATTTGAAAGGATAATAGGGTATAGTTGTGGAAAATTAAAAAACCTCAGAAAATGTTGGCTAGAGTTAAATTATGGAATGTTTTCACTCTACCAGATAAAGGTGGTTCAAAACTTCTGTATTTCTGGAAATGTCAGCAGGTTTGGGATCATGAGCAGAACTTACTTTTGTGAAATGGAAAACAGCTGATCCTTGATCAGTTTGGGACTGAAATAACAGCCACAACAAAAAAGATATATATACAGGAATGTTGAATTAGTTTGTTAGTGAAGGCTTAATGCAGATTTTTTTTTAAATTCATTTAAGGCTCTGTGAAATCCACCCTAAAGGCAAGATAAAAATAGAATGTGAACTTTCAGCTACTGCACGAGAGAAGTTAGTATATTAGGCAATGCTGGGAGCAGAATTAAATCAATACTACACATTTTCATTTACATAGTGGTTTGAAACAGCGTTGGGGACTGTTTTGATCCTCCATTGGCCATGGCAAACATGAATCAATCAGATAGCAAAACAATAATTTGAAAAAAAGGAAAAGTACTGCCCTGTTAAATCTATCTAATAATTATTAAATCAGTTATAAAGCTGATTTGCTGCTGCTGCCCTGGGAGATCACTTCATTCAAGAAATTTCCTCTGCTTCCAAAAACTGACACGCCAAGGCAGGTGTGTCTCATCTCATCCGTGCAGCCTGCCCCACGGGGGAAAATGGGGTGATGGAGGGATACCAATATACTTTATGAGGAGGTGGCTTGCCCCATTCTGGGGCAAATCTTGCCCCACCTTTTGAGAGCAAAACTGGCGCAGTCCGGGGCTTAGAAAGAAAGAGGATTTTGGAAGCGTCAGAG